TCCCGGCCTGCCTCTACATCGGCAACAACGAGCGGCCCGCCTTTACATCAGCAGCAGTGTCATACACCATCATAGGCATTGTTTACAGCTAGTTCCCCCAGCATGTAAAGACCCAGAATCAACTCTCACAGATTTAGTTCTTCTGTTGAGAGTCTGAGGGAAAAGAACAGTAAGCAGACCATATGTTACATTACGCGAATATCATCCAATTTTTTTGATATATTTTAATACATATCCCGTTAATGATAGTTTTGCACTGGTTATATAGATCGAAAGTTACGTCCGGTATACGTCACAAGGTAAAGAATGTAACACTCCTTCAAGCACTAATAAAATGTTTTACATTATTTTACTTTGGGGAATTTTAAACTTGACAAAACTGCTAAATAAATTCAAATGTAAATTGTATCTATTTTAGAACGACAGTGTCAAAACATTTCTAACTCCGACAAGCTGGTTCTGAAAGGTGTTACCATTTATCTATTTATTGCGATGTCCTGATGTCCTCAAGCACGTTTAGATAACATATATATCATGTATATGATAAATATATAACCATGATGGATAAACATGATTAAACCGTGTATCGAAATAATCTACATTTGTCTGATCTGTGTTCTTTTCTTTAAAACTAAAAGTTCAATTATAGAGTATAGACTGAAAGGGGAGTGGGCTCATAGTTTCTTTACACACGTTTTAATAGAAAATGAAAGGATATGGAGTAATGTACATGGGAAAAAATCGCACACAATACATTGAAAACATAGAAAACTATCAATGAGCAGGGCTTTTATTCCTGTTCTTCATCTTGACAGGTGGTGTAGGGTCTTCAACAATGAACGAATCATTCATACCCTACAACAAGGTCAAGACGGCCCTAGCGTCGACTTAAGCGGTACTATTGATAAAAATAAACCACAGTTCACCTTCTTGCTCACTATTTCTACGATCCGCAGTGAATCGACATTAATATCAACAATCAAATTTCCCTGTTGGATTTATCATTTTAAAAATAAATGAACAATTATAAAGAAAAATGTGAAATAATTCAACTTATATAGAAGTCATATGAAGTTTTAAAATGAAATGAGCATTTTATTTCAAAATCCATTTTTAAATCGTCAATATCAACAGAGAGAGATTATAAATATATTAATATGTCTATGATATCAGATATCTTATTTTTTTAAAACCTCCACTCCAAATGAAATCTGTAATACCTTACTTTTCGAGACATGAAACTGTTACACACAGTAGTTCTTGACCAATATTGAAAAATAACATTTTCGGTACTAAATTTCAACCCCTCTTCCCTTGCCCCTTTCGAATGACTTTTCCACAAAACTAAAACTCCAGCAGTAATACATTTCCAGACTGTTTATTGTAATTTCATGTACAAAGTAAAACAAAATCAACAGGGAAAGGGAGTTAATGCTGTTTTGCAATATATAACATTTTTTTACTTAATTAGCTTATAATTTTGCATCATACATGATCTGAGAGTAGTCTCACGGATAACACAGACGTTACGCACGATATTAGTGTCACTTTTGGTAATGTCGAATGTTAACGTAAAAAAACATGTTATATTGACGTGTTGTAATATTGCCTTTCAATATATCCTTTTTATAATTAATTTCATTTATTCAGTCTATAATCTTTATTCAGTCTTTAATCTTTATAACTATTTTGATATGAGCGTCACTAATGAGTCTTATGTAGACGAAACGCGCGTCTGGCGTACTAAATTATAATCCTGGTACCTTTGATAACTATTTATACAGAATTGTTTTATGTGATTAAAAGAAGATAAGGGTATACAAAATGTGTTCTGTAGTAAAATTAAATGTAAAGAATACGTATTGTGTTCTGTGAATGAAGGAATATGTGGGATAAACAGATCATGGCCATAATGATTCGTCACTTACAATTTGTTGCTATATATGTGTATACTATTTATCAATTATGGACTTTTGACGAGGTCACTATGACACGTTACATATATGGACTTGTTCAGATTATATTAACCGAGGACGAGTACGTTATACCTGTTCAGATTATATTGACCGAGGACGAAGTCCGAGGTTCAATATAATCTAACAGGTCCATATATGAGATAACGTATTGACTGAGTAAAAGTACTTAATTTATATATTACATAGGTAAATAGTGTAAGTTTAAAAATGATATTGACCCGATCCAGGGACAGTCTATACTAACTATACTAGTATAGACAGTGGCGTAGCTTGCATTCTGTTATTACAGAGGCAGGGGTCTGGGGTTACAGCCCCCAAGAAGCTGTTGAGGTTTTGCAATTTGAACAAGAAGAATCTATTAAGAATTATAACAGTTCTTTTATTTAATTTCATCATAATAATGTTAATATGCCTTACACTAAGTTATACTACAAATTTATTAGATTACTGGTACCTACATCATTTTCAATCAACGGTTCAGATGAATACATAAATGTTCTCAAATACATTTACCACTATTTCAAATTGAATCCTTTCAGTGAACTGGAAAAAAAATTAGATTGCAGCTAGCGCTTTACAAGTGGACGCAACAGCAAGATTCAAAATGTGCACTCTGCAATGATGATAATATGCTCTTGGTTTGGTTTGCTGTATGCAGGTTTTAATACCAGAAACATTACCAGACATTACGCTAGCACCATTTCTTGATAAACTAAGAAATAGACACATGCTACATGTAAAACGCACCACGGCACTTTTATGGGTTGTGTTTCGCCCTGATATTTCTTGGAATGTCTTCAAATTCTTACATGGTTTTCCCATTGTGAAAGTGACAACCGTTGAAGTACTAACGGAAACATTTTCTTTTTTCTGAAGTCTTCATAATAAATGAAAACAGTATTTGGTTGAAATTTTTTATATAGAAACAGACATTTACTATATATGTCGCTTGAATAAATGACTCCTTCAAGTATTTCAAATTCCCTGCTACTGAAAAACTATAAAATTTAAAAAAGCGAGAATAACACTTTAGAACAACATACAAATCATTATTCTGTGCATATTGATTAATAATTTAATTTTGGATGTAACGCGTCTTCTGATTGGCTGACGTTGTTTTGTTTATCAGCTCATAGACATGATTTTGTCATGTGACCGTGACGTCATCAACGTTTTTTCATGGTTTACTCCGGTTTAAAATGGAATTTAGAATTAAATTATAAGAAATGACTGTAATATTTTTTCTGTCTATTCGAAATAACATAAAAAATGTGGTGCACACTTTAAAATAACCCGCTACGCGGGTTATTCAGTGTGCACCACATTTTTGATGTTATTTCTTCATAGACAGAAAAAATATTACAGTCATTCCTTAAATGTATATTTTATTCTAATTTATATCAAAGTCAATGAAACTCTGTACTACTACTAATTGGAGTACTACACGTATTAGGGAAAATGTCAACACACAACGATATTTCAGTTTTAGACGTAAATTAACCGGTTAAATATGAGGGTTTGAATGGGGGACTTCAAATATTTATTTTAATCCTTTTTGTCCATAATTTGATTTCCTTTCTCTTATATTTAAGCACCATTTTAAATCTCTATTCTTTTAAGTTTAAAATAGTTTCAGGGCATGTTTCTGTGTTCTGTAAACCTCACTCAGACCCTCATATTCTAGGAATTATTCTCACACAAAATTAATAATTTACCGGCTCGTGAAATGGATCATCATCTATTCTACTGATTTTGCTTGGGGTAGGATTAAAATTTTTCAGCTTCAATTGTGTCGATTTCTTTTGACTCTGACATATTTAGAAAACTACCACAAAGGGGTCGGGATTTCCAGAGGGAAATGTTTCCACAAGTCTTGCATAACTCCCAAACGGTATGAATCAATAACAGCAACAAGACGATATACAATTTGGTTTAGTAGCGAGTCTGCTGCATTTTGTGAAAAAAAACCAGTTTTTTATTTTTTTTTTAATTACTTTTTACCGAGGCAACTGCCTCGGTTGCCTCAACGTAAGCTACGCCAATGATAGACTGTCCTTGCTCGATCTTACTTTTTTTGGAAATGATATTGACTTTATCTAACAATTTTTAGTAACATGGAGTCAATATCATTTTAAAAAATAGTAAGGTCGATTCAATATGTCAAAATAGTATAAAAATACAAATATATATTGAGAAACACGTTACCAAATAAACCAATGAGAAACAGCAAAACCATAAGTAATACAAGCATGTATTACCAACAGAATTTAGCATCAGGGCAATGTAAATTAATATAAGCAACATTATTAAAATCAGAGGTACATGTTGCAATGTAAGCATCAACTGAAAAACAAATATTTGAATTTTAAATGTGTTTCCCCACGCTTTCAAAGGGTCGTAATGGGGCCACGGTAACTACATTCATGACGAATAACGGTAAAACTCTTGCCAAATGACGTTAACGGTAAATTTTAGTGCATGACGATAAAAAATCGGCTGATATTGACGAATCATGTTAAATTCTTTCCATAAATAACGGTAACGATTATTTTAGACCTCTGACGGATAAGGATATTTTGACGAATCACGATAAAATTTTAACCAATTTGACGCTAACGGTAGCCGAAATGACCATTTGACGACTGACTGACTAGGACCAGGAACATATATATTGATATACTGTTCCCAGCTAGGACATATGATTATCATTGAAGTTAATTGTTATCAATTATCACATCAGAGACATGTAATATCTGAGATCATAATATGTCACATCAACGCATTTTGACTCATCTATTTTCACATTTCCGAGTGTGCGAATCTTAACTTTTTAAAGGTAAAACCGCTTTATTTTAGACTTCCTTGTGTTTGAAAAAAATTGTCACAAAATTTCGATAAAATCAATGTAACATACTCTACATAATCGTCAATTTACGTCCGGTTGTTATGAAATAGATCTCCAGGTATTGTTCTATTTGTTCACACGCAAATCGGAATTTTGTCCGGAACCGGTTACTTATTATACGTCCAACTTCCTATGGAAAATGCCGAATCTCACACTCAACAACAGTTGACAAAAAATGACAATGGAAAGTGAAACAGGGTTTTGTGATTCTCCATTTTTGGTAAGTAAGACAAATTAACATTATACAATACGAAAAGCGAATGAATATTTGTCTACGTTCAAGAACGAAATGCTGACAAAAACATTATCATCCCATGTTTTCGATTGTGCCATAAATTGAAACAGCGACCGCCTCTTTTCTACAAATAGATTACGCATTTTTTTAGTTTAATAGTTTTCAACAACAAATTACACACCCATCTATTTTTCAATTAAACTGTTGATAATTTTTGATCTACCACTAAACAGATTACACATCAGAACTGTAAAACTTATAAGGTCAAAATGACATGCAATACAAACACATGGGGCCCTCATTTACATAAGGGGACCCAACCAAATTAGGACTATAGTAGATTAACGCCAGTGTCCTGACAAAACCAAATAAAGGGGTGTCTTGACCTGAATCCTTCAGGCAGGGTCCCTCTGTTCTCAAACATGAAAAAATGTGCCTTTGTTACTTTTCCATTGCACCAATCATACCAATGTCCATAATGTATTTTCAACCCTGTCAATATGGTCAAAGGGATTCATGGTTTCAATAATCCTGTGTTTATTCTAGACTAGCCTGATTAAATGTGATAACTTTTTTTAATGTTTTAATAAACAACAAATTGTACAAATAATGATGATGATTGCATAATTATGATACAAGTGACAGATACTTTATTAATTAGAAGAATCAACATGCCATTTTTTTAAAAATAAGTTTTAACTGATAATTCAAAACATAAACCAACACATTTTTTTTTTTTTTTTGTAAACAATATTTTTGTCTCGTCTTGATGGAGTCAAAATGCGAGACATAGGTATGCTGTTTCCAGCGGCGTCAACAATGTATTAGTTTGTGATTAGGTCTAGTTCATGGTGAACCTCTAGTGGTAGGTTAATGATATTTGGTATGCAGTTGTATTAGCATTGGCACATCTCATTACCATGGAGATAATTTGGCCCAGCCCCCTCAGTCAAGGTCTATTGACTTTGAAACTTTGCTTAGTTTACATGTATTAGTTTGTGATTAGGTCTGTTTATGGCAAACCACTAGTGGAAGGTCAATGATATTTGGTATGCAGTTGTATTAGCATTGGCACATCTCATTACCATGGAGATTATTTGGCCACGTCCCCTCAGTCAAGGTCTATTGACATTGAAACTTTTGCTTAGTTTTCATATATTAGTTTGTGATTAGGTCAGTTTAAGGGGAACTGTTAGTCAGTGGTAGGTCAGTGATACAGTACAAATTTCGCGAAAGGCTTCCCAAACTCCGAACACCAAGTTTTTTCTTGGTGTGACACCAGGAAACTCCGACATCCCTCCCTAAATTCTCAGAGAAATTTGGGAGTATTCCCTTCCGACTTCCGCGTAAATTCGCTACCTTTTGTTTATTGTATTAGCGACATCTCTCCCAGTCCGGTGTGACGCGGTGTCACACCAGGTAATTAATTGCCCTAATCCTTCTGATCTATACCGGCAAGCGACAGTCAAGATATGTGAGATTACTTATGTAATAAACAATTGTATTTCCTGTCTATTGATAATCAGGTTATATTTCTGATTGCTTGAAACAAATAAAAGATTTAAAAGCAAAACGTTGTTGTTAATTCTTTCAATTACTCTGTACATTTAAAAATAGTTTTATTAAAAAAAAACTATATTTGATTTTTACCTCGTTTTTTATCTGGTAAGTAAATTAATATTTAATTTACAAAAGAGATATACTTGTGTAAAAAATAAACGGAGACTTACGCTGAATAAATGTGGGCAGTTTAAAGGAAAATTACATGTCTCAAAGTTTTGTATACAAGTAAAAAAGAAAATATTATTCACTATTCATTATGCTAATAAGTCCACGCCATTTTCATTTTACGATTACATAATTGCTTGAAACAAATTAAAGATTTAAAAGCAGAATGTTGTTGTTAATTCTTTCAATTGCATTAAAGTTTTATAACAAAAACTATACTTGATTTTGACCTTGTTTAAGTTCATCGGTAAATTATTTTATTTACGAAAAGAGACATACTTGCGTAAAAATAAACGGAAACTAACGCTGAATATAAAAGTGAGCAGTTTAAAGAAAATTGGTATGCAGTTGTATTAGCATTAGCACATCTCATTTCCATGGAGAATAGTTGATCCTTTCCCCTCAGTCATGGTCTATTAACTTTGAAACTTTTGCTTAGTTTACATGTATTAGTTTGTGATTAGGTCAGTTTAAGATGAACCACTAATGCTAAGTCAATGATATTCAGTATGCAAATGTATTGGCATTTGCAAGTTTCATTTCCATGGAATTATATAACCCCACCCCCTAATTATGGTTCATTGAATTTGAAACTTTTACATAGTTTACAAGTGAATGTTTGTGTTTAGGTTTGTTGAAAGGAAACAACTTATGAAAAGTCAATGGTATTTGGTTTGCAGTTGTATTAGCATATGCCAGACATGGGGTGAATTACATTGCAATGTAATGCATTATAATACAATTACTTTAACAAAACCATGCATTAAATTACAATTACAATTACATGCTTTTATCAAAGTAATGCATTAAATTACAATTACTTTTGCAAAGTAATGCATTGAATGACACATTACATTTTGTAAATTTGTTTATTAAGTGAAAAGAAAAATTAAACATTTTGAAAAACAACATGAAGTCACAAAAGATTCTAGCATACTCATCAATTGTATTGAATTTTGTCAGACGTGTAAGAAGTCAATTCAATACGACTATTACATTTTTACATCATAATAGTTTTGAAAGATTTCATGATCCTTCATGCACATTTAGGGTTTCGAAAGGTTTCCTCCTTCATGCACAATATCAGGCCTGACCTTTCAAATGATATTTCTGACTGTCCGACTGTTTCACATAACCTATCAAAGTCACTAGCTCTTCTATCTTTAGTTTTAATGTTTCAAGATATACATCTCTCATTTTCACTAAAAAGAAATTACAGAGATGAAGTTTGATACTTATTTTAACTTAATGTTAAGTTTACTTTTTTAAATATACATTCAATATTTTTTATGCCCCCGCCGTAGCGGTGGGGGCATTAAGTTTTACCATTGTCCGTCTGTACGTACGTCCCAAAATTGGTTTCTGTTTTCTAACTTGAGTTTGCCGCAACCAAATGTTATGAAACTTATACACAATGCTTATTACCACAAAACACAGATTAAGTTTAAAATTTGGTGGCGCCACTCTAACCGTTCTAGAGTTATGCTCCTTTAAAAATGGAAAAATTGCAAAATTATTAGTTTCCGTTCTTTAACTTAAGTTTGCCTCAACTAAATGTTATGAATCTTATACACAATGCTTATTACCACAAAACACAGATCAAGTTTGAATTTTGGTCGCATCACTTTAACCGTTCTAGAGTTATGTCCCTTTATAAATGGAAGAATTGCAAAATGTTTAGTTTCCATTCTCTAACTTAAAGTTTACCTCAACCAAATGTTATGAAACTTTTACACAATGCTTATTACCACAAAACACAGATTAACTTTGAATTTTGGTCGTGTTACTTTAACCGTTCTAGAGTTATGCCCTTTATAAATGGAAAAATTGCAAAATTTTAATTTCTTCTAAATATCAAGTAATTTTTATACGACCGCAAAAAATTTTTTGTGGTCGTATATTGGTATGACGTTGGCGTCGTCGTCGTCGTCGTCGTCGTCGTCGTCCGAAGACGCATTAGTTTTCGCACTCTAACTTTAGTTTAAGTGAATGGATCTCTATGAAATTTCACCATAAGGTTCAATACCACAAAAGGAAGGTAGGGATTGATTTTGGGGGTTATGGTACCAACAATTAAGGAATTAGGGGCCAAAAAGGGGCCAAAAATAAGCATTTTCTAGATTCCAGACAATAACTGTGGAACGGTGTATGGATCTCTCTGAAATTATACTACAAGTTTCCATACCACAAATGGATGGTTAGGATTTGCTTTGGAGGTTATTGCTCAAACCGTTTAAGAATTAGGGGCAAAAAAGGGGGAAAAACAAGGTTGTCCTCATTAATGGACAAATACTTTAGTACAAAACATAATTTAAAGCAGTGTAAGGGAGATAAATCAAATACATCATTGAAATTATCTCCCTTACACTGCTTTTAAATTATGTATAAAGTAATGGTTAATGAACAATTAAGATAATTTAAAACAGTATAAGGGAGGTAATCCAAATACAACGTTTTGGTTACTTCCCTTACACTGCTTTTAAATTATGTTTAAAGAAATGCATATTTTTAAAGGAAGACCAGTATGGCGCATTAGATTTGTAAAACTTTGACCACATTTATTTATTTGTTATGCCGAATCTAACCGTGTATTTAGATTTTTAATTTTGGGTCCAGTTTCCAAATTGGTCTACATTAAGGTCCAAAGGGTCCAAAATTAAACTTTGTTTGATTTTAACAAAAATTGAATATATGGGGTTCTTTGATATGCTGAATCTAAACATGTATTTAGATTTTTGATTTTTGGCCCAGTTTTCAAGTTGGTCCAAATTGGGGTCCAAAATTAAACTTTGTTTGATTTCAACAAAAATTGAATATATGGGGTTCTTTGATATGCTGCATCTAACCATGTATTTAGATTTTTTATTTGTGGACCCCGCTATCAAATTGGTTCATATTGAAGTCAAAAGGGTCCAAAATTAAACTTTGTTTGATGACATCAAAAATTGAATTATTGGGGTTCTTTGATATGCCAAATCTAACCGTGTATTTAGATTTTTAATTTTGGGTCCCGTTTTTTAAATTGGTCTACATTAAGGTCCAAAGGGTCCAAAATTAAACTAAGTTTGATTTTAACAAAAATTGAATTCTTGGGGTTCTTTGATATGCTGAATCTAAATTTGTGTTTAGATTTTTGATTATGGGCCCAGTTTTCAAGTTGGACCAAGTTGGGGTCCAAAATTAAACTTTGTTTGATTTCAACAAAAATTGAATATATGGGGTTCTTTGATATGCTGAATCTAAACATGTATTTAGAT